TTTTTGTTATAGTCCCTTATATGTTCGCGAAATCTTGTTTTTATTTTCCGTCCTGTTTGACCTATATAACTATGCTGGCATTTGCAAGTTAGTTTATACACTCCTTGTTTATCCAATGGGTCTTCTTGATTTGTGGTGTTCCGTAGTATCCGTCGTACGTTGTTATTTGTTCTGAATGATGTGCGAACGTTGTGTTTCTGGAACAGCTTTGCTAGTTTGTACGTTGACTTTCCAGTATAGGTTAATACCGCCCAATTTGTGTCATTGTTTTTTCTTTGTTTTGCTTTCTGTTTTTGTGCTCCCTTCGGATTTCCTCTACCAGATCTCTCTTGTATCCGTTATTAGCCGCTATGCCATATATTGCGTTCAGTTCGTTTTTGTGTCCTTCTTTTGTTGTTGGTGTTTGCTCAATTCTATTGATCATTTGTCTAAAGGCGGCTTTTTTATGCTGATGAGGGTGGTTCGAAGTATTATGTATTATTGTATCTGTGGCTGTGGGCTTCCTAAAAATTTCATATTGCAGACTACTGGTATTTTTATTTATTTTGATCGTCAGATCTAAGANAATTCTATTGATCATTTGTCTAAAGGCGGCTTTTTTATGCTGATGAGGGTGGTTCGAAGTATTATGTATTATTGTATCTGTGGCTGTGGGCTTCCTAAAAATTTCATATTGCAGACTACTGGTGTTTTTATTTACTTTGATCGTCAGATCTAAGTAATTTAGCTTTCCTTCCATTTCTTGTTCCATTGTGAACTTTATGTTGCTGTGCTGTTTGTTGAGGTATTCCAATATCTGTTCTTCATTTTCCTTTGTTATAAGACATATGATGTCATCAACGTATCTGGCGTAGAACGTCGCTCCTATTTGTGACGTAAGATACTCCATGTACCTTTCTTCCAAATTCTGCATGAATACCTCCATAAGAATCGCCGATGTGGGGTTGCCCATGCCTAGCCCGTTTGTTTGCATGTATACGTTGTTATTAAATTTAAAGTAGTTTTGACGCAACGTCGTTCTGAGTGCGTTAGTTATCTCCACGGCGATTTCTCTGTTTCTTGTTTTTTCTGTCAGTATTTTGAATAGGATATCTATTGTTTCCGTTATGGGTATCGATGGGTATAGATTTTTTATGTCGAATGATACCAGCTTAGTATCCAACGTGATAACTGAGTCTTTTAATTTTTCAATCAATTCCGTTGTACTAGATATTGAGTACTTATTGGGCAATCCAAGGTTATCCTTTAGGAAAAATCAACCAACACCAACACACAAATAACAGTTGTTACATACATATACATATATGTAAAAGATAAATTGCTGAATTCATTGGAGTATGTACATATGTTATTTCACAGTAATTCAATGTTAATGTACATCTATATATTTTCTAA